TAGTTTAGGTTTTCGGTAACCAAACATAGTAAAGTTTCTAGTAAATTTTTAATTCCTGGAAGGTTCGTCCTTCAGTTCCTCCCCTACCAAGGGCACATACAGAGGATGAGGCTGGAGATTGGATAATGGACAGGAGGGGAGAGGGTTACTTTCAACTTTTTTTAAGTAAGGCATCTCAAAATTAAAGCTGCTCCACTGGTAAAAGTTATTTATTGGTGGAAATTTTAGGGGAAAAAGTCACTTCAACCACTTCAAAACATCATGAAGACATGGAAAATTACACTGTCCCTGCTTTCGACCTTTTGTCCAGTCAAATAACTCAAAAACAGCTGAACTTGAAACCAGAGGCTTGGCACACACTGTATGTATTGTCCTCAATGAGGCGTTTAGAGTTTTCAAAGTAAAAAATGGCTTGAAATTAAATGCAAGTGATTAACTTTAGAGATGTGGCAGTGAGCACGCCCAGTGGACAGAACCATTACACAATGCCCTGAGCTTGACCACAGGCTGAGCCACCACACACCAGGGCTGAGTCCGAGTCATGAAAAAAGTTTCTCTAGCAGCCTACCTTGTCATACTTAACACTAAGGAGAAATGTTTTCTTCATAGCAAAATGTGGCTAATCCAAACTATAAATTGTGGCCTTAGGTTCCATTTTGCCATGTCTGAGAAATATGCACACCCATGCACTTGCATAAACCCTGCTTTTTATTAAACTGTAAAGATTTTGTATAGGCACTTGTAATTTTGACTGCTTTTATTCTCTCCGTCCTACTACATAGTTTATGTAGTCTGTATCCACGGTATTTAAATAAGGATTCATAGAAAAAGAAGGGAAGCTAAACTAATTTGCAGTTTAAGGAAACAGAGCTACTTTCCCACTCCTAATCCCTAGAGAAAAAGTTTACCACCCAGTCTACCATAACACACTCCTTTATGATCCAGTGTATAAAGCCTACCATCTGTATATGGATCTTTCATTATTTTTGATGGCAAGACTTCCAGAAGTTCATACAAATAAAAAAAAACCCTTGTTCTAGGGAGTTTATATAAAAAATTACTTTTTACTGTTGTTATTATTCTACTGTCACTACACAACAGATGGCATTATATAGAAAATAAGTCCTGTGCTGGACACTGGGCACTATGGGATCACCATAAAAGTCCTTGTCCAAAGCTTACAATGTAACTGAGTAATTTTTATATGTGGTGGATGGGAACCAGAGCAAGGAAAACCCAAAACTGAAACCATGGTAACCCTTAAGTAGAACCAAAATGTTGTAGATCCTCTAGCCATCTTCAGAAATGAAATAAATCAAGAAAATGTTATAAATCTCTGGTATGAGATATCTGACAATAAATATATACAAGAAAATGTGAATATGAAAAATAAGGACCAGTGAAGCTAATTAGCCTAGGAGATTAACACCAGAAAGTTAGAACAAAAATATGCAGGTAATGAGGTGTAACACACAAGAGTTAAATCATAAATTTGGCCTAGAAATTTCTGGTGCCAAAGCAAAAAATAAAAAATAAATACAATTAGTTACTTGATTTTCTTTGTCCTCGAAGAGAAATGTATGAACTCTTCCATGAAAACAAAGCTTTTCAGGACTCTTTAAAGAAATGTCTTGCCTGAGCTACATAGTAACGTAGTAATGTAGAGGGAAATAGTCTCTAATAGATCCTCAGAGGGCAGTAGCAGGGTTTACAACACTGTTTCTTTTAGAGACCATCCCCGAAAGTTGAGAGGACCCTACAAACGTATGACCCACTGAAAGCAGTTTTAATAGGGCCACAGTAATGCAATACATATATTTAGCTTTCTACAGATTCCATCTAAACCGAGAGAAAATAATAGACTATCCAAAGTTATGTCTCCAAGTTAAGTGCTCGTGGTGGTCAGGCAGGTGCAATGAACGAATGAAGCAGACCAGTGTGAAGGCTAAAGTGGGAGGAAAAGCAAATCAGTAGACAGTAACCCTGCCTGAGTGGAGCCGCCACTAACTCAGTCTCAGCAAACTGGCTCTTGCCTTATGAGAATGTGGGCCCAGTGCTTCTAGACGTTCTCAATTTCTAAAAACAGCTGGAAAGCTGGATTTTTATGTGACATCTCCAGGTTTCTTAAATTTGTCAACCCTACTTCAGGATGACACC